GTTTCGCGCGCATGGACCTCAGATCTCTGATTGGAAATGTGCTTAAACGCAGCGGCCCGTACGGGCGCCGTAACCTAAAACAGGGTTTAGGGATCAGGGTTTAGGCTTAGTAGGGAATCAGGGAAGAGATCATGCAGGAATCAATATAGGGGCTTATATTCCCCCATTCCCTTCAGTTCACTTTTTCCGGAGATTTCTCAAAATAGGGGTGCCCTTAGCCTTACAGAAATTTGGGAACTTGGAGGGATTGCTGCAGACCCCCCCCCACCAAAGGTGTAGATTTGGGTACATGTTGAGAACATCTCATGCGGGAGTATTTCGGGATATGAGGGAGGTATCAGGTCATGTTGGTTGGTGCGGGCATGGACAGGTCCTGCGGGTTGCCTTGGTTTAGGGTTTAGGGTTTAGGGAGGCATCTTTCAATTTTCCGGGCACGGTCTCTTGAATTTCCAGTCACCAAGGGCTCTGTGGCTGTGTGCGGAAAAGTGGCAGCATAAATGAGGGCACTGTTCCAAATGCCCCACACAGTGGCATGCAGTCAGGTCGGGAATATTCATCTGCAATGCTACATGTCGGGAAGCTCTCAGCATGACGTTTCTTGGTGGAATCTTTTTTGAGATAGCTTGGTATCGCAGCAGCAGCCCAGTCCTTGGAAGCCATCTGCGCAGCAGAGTTGAACATTCTTGAATGCTGCAGCTGAAATGCAGCTTTTGTTGGCGAATGTCCCATCAGAATTGTCTCAACATATCCCTTCACATGTACGTTAATCCTGAACAAGGGTCCGAAAACCTCTTGTAATCCCAGTTTCCGAATGGAGTCCCTACGAGCCTCCCCTTTTGAGAAACTCCCTTGCTTGTTTGCCGCCAGGCATCACTCGTGTGACCGTCAAGAAGAGTGCCAACCTCGTCTAGCTTTGCTTGGTGCCAACCTGTCCCTATGAGGTCTATGAGGTACATCTATTTATGGGTAAGCCCTGTATAGTACTTAAGATGGACCCTCGAATCCCGATTACAACTCTGCATACCAGATTGTGGATTCCTCTCAAACGCGCAAGATGCGAGCACTTACTGGGACTTGCGGTACACTGGAAAGGTCCCTAAGAGTCGGCCCTCGTTGTCCTGATCCGAAGTTTAACCGCTTGGGCTTCTCACTTGCAGACAGGGTGCGCATCAGACTTCTTCTTAGTTCTGAGGTAAACAACCAGATTTTGAGCGCTTTTCTGACGCCCATGTGCTACGGAGCTACACCTCAAGCCCTAAGCAATGTCCACCCTATACTTCTTTCCCTAGATATCATCTGCTGGCTTGTCAAAGTCTATGATGCCCGTATTTGGGTCCTTATAATGCGGACTCTTATCCGCAAGATGCCCCAGGGTGCCGCGATTTTAGGCAGCCGGCCATCGAGTATTTGCAAGTTGTAATCGGGGTTGCATTTGGCGTAGCTATGGTTACACCTTCAGACATGTTGTCTAGAATAGTCGAAACCAGTGCACGCATGAAACTCCAAGTCAAAGCCCTACGTAGTACCCAGGCAAGAACATCCTCTTTGTCATTGCGAACCCTGACGTTCACAAAGCGCAGTCGTCAGATACGTGACCCTCCGAAAGTTACGGGTTACATGGACCCCCAAAGTAAGTCAAACAATGGCCTAAAAGCCTGAAGATATGAACCACAAACCCATTATTTTACATATGTTTAGGGTCCAAGTGAAGGGATTGCAGGACCGATGCTGACAGCCAGCTTTTGGGAGGTGGACAGCTTTGTTTTTGTGTTTCTTGATGGTCTATAGTCCTGCTGCTTAACTAGATAGAATATGAGGTATGATGGTCATCTTACTACTTTGTTGGGGAAGTCCATATTCTATCTGGTGTCCTGAACGAAGTGAGCTATAGTTTAAACTCCTGAAAGGAGGGCTATGTGGGGGATTTTAGGGGGAAATATATAAGGTGTAAGGATTTGGGTTTAGGGTCTAAACTCCTTGAAGGGGGGTTATACAGGGAGTGTTGTAAGTGTTATTAATGGGGATACTAGGAGTTTAGACCCTAAACCCTAAATCCAAAACCCCTAAACCCTAGGAGTTTAGATGGTGGCTCAAGTAGCGGGCGCGGACACAGAATATGGACTCAGTCAGACCCCGAGCCCTCTAACCTTGGATTTAGAGTTTAGGGTTTACGTTTGGGGTTTAGAGTTCAGGGTTAAGGGTACCATACTGCGAAGGTTGGAGCCCTCATTCTGAACTCACCCAAATTGTGGAAGCAAAGACCCTTAATCCTAAAAACCCGCAGCCCGAAGCGCTGCGGCCTCAGGTAACCCCAAACCCTAAATCCCTAAACCCCTAATTCCCTAAACGCCTAAATCCCTAAACCCCTAAATCCCTGAATCCCTAAACCCCTAAGCCCTAAATCCCTAAACCCCTAAACCCCTAAGCCCTCAGCCTCTAAACCCTAAACAGGTATATCGTCTTCGGTGAGGCAAAGGTTGAAGACCTTAGCGCGCAAGTGCGATTCCCGGATTTCCAGCTGAGTGAGTCTAGCTAAGGTATGGTGGATGTCAAAGGCTTAGGGTTTATAGGGTTTAGGGTAAAAAGATCCTGTATGACACTAGGTACCTTACTAATAAGACTGACACTAATACTACTAGGCTTAACCTGATTAGGAATACTGATGCTAACTATACTTTGGAAGCTATGGTATCCTAGTATTCAAGGTCATGCAGGAGTTTTAGTATCAGCATTGGTGCAGAAATAATCCCTTGCTGTCTTGTATGATTCTGTCTTATATGATTGCCGAAAGCTGTTGCGGGTGTGCCTCGGTACTTGCATGCAGGCCTCACACATCTAAGCAATCGGGGGCTCACATACTACAGGCTTGGGAGAGAACTCCTGCAGTATGCCTTTCCCTGTAACTCAAGACCGAAAACTTGGCATGTCGCATTGCCAGCTTTTGGCAACGCAGCGTCTTTCTGCTCAAGCCGAGACAGTACTGGCCTTGATCCGAAACTTGTCAGAATGCAAGATAAGTGGTTTTCCAAACACATGGAAGGACATGGAAGGCTCAAGGTAGCCCTGCAGCATGAGAAGTCCTAAGTTCTTCTGTCTCATGAGTAAGTGACGAGAACCATAAGCCCTTTCATCGGGGGTTTGGTCCTGGGTGTAGAGCCCAAACCCTAAACCCGCACTCTAAACCCTAAACACCCAGACAGCAGAAATTAGACCTTCAGAGCTTGCTCGCGACCCTGCAATCACAAAGCACATAGCCAGGCTACTCCCAAGGGCCGGGTTGCCGTTAAGGAACTTAAACTAAAGTACTACAATAAGGAAACCTTATTACTTACGATATGCTCTTAATATGGGGAGTTAATCTAAGTTCCATAACAGCAACCCAGAAGAGGGGGCCCTCCCTTTGTTCCCTTGCGTCGCATTGGGCTGGCACTGCTTGGCCGCCCTAGATCGCAGCTTGGCAGCTCTGGTTCTTGTCCAGAATTTTGGAGTTATGTGGTGTTTGCAGACGTTTGCTGTGTTTTCGAGTTCATAGGTTGAAGACTTGCAGTTACGACTTGCTTTGTATTCAGATGTTGCTGTGTTTCTTTGGTTTGTCTTAGTCGAGCGCTTCAGGGACCACGTTCTGACATTCAGTGGTAGCTGCAAGCAACTCTCCAATGTTGAAGATCCAGCAGATGTCCACATGCCAAAACCAAACTTTGGATCCCTTGCAGCTCATGGCGGCTGTTCCTTGGAACCTTTTGTGCTGCATCAGCGTCCTGCCCTTTTGGACAACATCTCTACATCCGCGTTCTGTAGCAAAGGAACCCTGAGTCCTAATCAACCGTCAAGCAATGAGCCAGCGGGCTTCGAATCTGAAAGCCCAGCAGCTCACTTTGCTGCAATTGGGACCCATGCATTATAGTTCCCCTTAAGTAGATAGAATATGGAGTATATGGGGGTCTTATTATAATATACCCAAAGCCATATTCTATCTACTTCAGGGGGACTATACATCCATTGTGGTGATTACCTGTGACGCATTCTGTCGGAGCACTTGTGCTGAAGGGGCCAAAGGTCCGCTTCACGAAGGATCTCCTCAACCCTGGATCTTGCACCCTACACCCTCAGGCCAAACGCCTCAGTCCCATATCCTCAGTTCTGCGCCCTAAACCCTGGATCTCACCCTAAAGCCCTCAACCCTAGATCCCACCCTAGTCCCTGGATCCCACCCTACAAACCCAAACGCTGCATTCCACCCTGTGAGCCCTAAACCCTGGAGCCCACTCAAAACCTTAAATCCCAAATCCTAACGAGAACGAACTGTGACAATGCCTGGCCTGTGAGGACTGCTTGGGCCTAAACCCCCTGAACCCTGGATCCCAAAAAATCAAGAATCGAGCCCTCAAGACAAAATAAATTTACAAGTACTTGGGGCCCCAAATTCCGTAACTCAGAAGCATCAAAAGCAAAAGAACCTTCCCAAACCCAAAGTAATTGTAATGAACTGCTGCTGAATCCCATGTCAAATCGAAACAGTTTCCCGAAGGCTTAAGTACTTGTAATAAGCCCTGAGTTCCTAACCCTTAACCCTAAAACCCCAAATCCTAAACCCTACACTTAAGCCCTGAACCCCCAACCCCGGTTTAGGGTTTAGGGTTTGGGTTTAGCGTTTAGGGTTTAGGTTAAACCCTAAACCAAATGGAAGCCGTCAGGCCATGGTGAAGAAGAAGGGAAAGTCCCAAGGCCTCGTGCTGTCGAAGACGGGCGAATCTGACAAGCACAACAAGGCGTAATCCCTGTTTAGGGCTTAGGATTCAGGATTTAGGGTTTAGGGGGATTACATGGGGATGTGTTCCCCACAGGGGATTGCATAAATATAGGGGGATCCCTAATTACTGGGGATGACATAAGGCTTAGGATTTCCCGTGGGGGTCCGAATAGCGCAAAAGAGGTGCCATTAGTGAATATACCATTTAGGCCCTAGTGTAGGCATTACTTGACAACCTGTAGAAAGACACCTATAGGCCATACACAAGCTCGTAAAGCTTTGGAACAGGACCCATGACGTGAAGACATCCCCATACGCAAAAAATCTCGCTGTCCTAGGGCATTAGGCTTTAGGGTTCAGCAGCCCTGCAGCCCCAAACCCTAAACCCTAAACCCTAACCCCAAGCCCTAAACCTAGACCCTGAACCCTGAACCCAGGCCCAGAAGCCTTCCAAGCGGAAGCAGAAGCTGAAGAAACAGCTCAAGGCAAAAGCCGCCTCCGCCAAGAAAGGACGCAGCTGTGCACTTTGAAGGGTGGTGTCTCCTGAGTTTGGGCTTAGGGCTCAAGACGGGGGCCTATAATACTCCCCTAGAAAGAAAATCCCCCATATATAGCCCCCTTTTAGGAGTTCAGACTATAGCTCACTTGTCTCCCAGCAAGTTTCATCTAGGACCAGCAAAGCCAACAAAAGAGGCAGACAACTCTGAGGCCCTGAACTGCTGCGGGGGAATTCTGCGAAAATCGGCCCCTTAAGGGAAACAAGTGTACCAAGTATATATGAGCTATAGTCTAAACTGCTTAAAGGGGGTTATATAGGGGATTATATAAGGGACTACTATATTGGTTATTAAGGGGGATACCAGGAGTTTAGACAATGGCTCATATAGAGTTTAGGGTTTAGGAAGGGATTATGAGGGGGCATGCGGGTCCCTGGTCCAGCTTTCCCGGGTAGCTCGATACTAAGGATGCCGCGTCATTGGGAGTATAGACGGACGGCTCCAATGCTGACAAGTAACCACGTGAGCTAGAATTCAAAAAACCATCCTAAAAGTTTTCCATTCGGTCTTGAAGACGGGCCCCTACAGATGTAGTCCCGACGTTTTTGGGTTTTGGGCGAATTAATGGCGACCCAGTATTGAGAGATCTTGTAGAAAGACTGCTCAAGCACTGTCAAGAGTGGAGACAGGTTTCCTTGCCGATTAGATTGTTTGGGTCTGCAGCTTACTCCCCCTATCAAAGCCGCTTCCATCCCATCATTTCAGAAACAATGACTGTCTCGACAAACTAGCAACAAGGATATCGACACAAAGACTTGAGCATCCACACTTTAGTGCTTTGTACCCCCCCCCCCTCCAGAACCTTGAAGCCCAGTGAGTTTATCTGTATTCGTGGGGAGTATCCATAAGTAAGTTGAAAGCCGGTTCTAGCACCAAACATGCTGATCCTGAGCATGGTCAGACAACTTTGAGATTCATGGTAGTTTCCCAAAATCAGGGGACCTCAATATAGACCCCAATATACTATAGTCCTTATTACAGGGACCCCCAAGAATCCCCCTAATCTTGACAAACCCTCAACCCTACATCCCCCTAATATATCCCTATACAACCCCTATATAACCCCTATTAATCCACCCTTTACGTACTAATTTTAAGAACCACCCTCATCACGCTTCTCGCCGAGAGCTCCACGGTTCTAGGCCATAGTTGCCATGCCAGGGCTTGTAGGGGCAGAAAATTTGTGTTGAAACTTAAAGGTCTAGCTGTCGATGTATGAGTTTTTGACTTGGAGGTTCTGGGTGAAGGACATAGCTGTTTTTAGGGTTTAGGGTTTAGGGTTTAGGGCTAAGATTTTAAGATGTACATGTGTTCATGGCAGTGAGAGACGAGCTGTCCCCTGACCCTGGAGAGGATAGTGGGTCTGACGACGTCAGGGCCTTAATTGAGACGATGCGGGCAGAAGTTGCCGGATAACTCGCCAGCTCAGCTACGAGTGTGCAGCCAAGAAGACCTTAAAGAAGGGTACATATATGTCTATATCTATCTATCTATCTATCTATCTACCTCGTGTATCCCCGCGTACACAAGCCTTACACGAGCCTTATATGGGGGTACCCCCCTGGTAACTACCCATCTGGGAATGTCTTTGAGTAAAGAGCTGATTGCAGCTGCTACCAAGGAGATAACTGAGGACGACGTAGACCCGGCGGAGCGTGACGAGTACATGACCCGCTTGACTGCCTTCCTGTATCTTGGCGGTCATATAGGGTAACATGGGGTATTATAGGTGATATAGGGTAAAATGGGGTAATATAGGGTGACATAAGGTAATATAGGTTCATTGGGCAATCTTGCCGGATAAGCCAGCTTGAGGGGCTCGCAAGTTCGCAGTTGTTTGGTTTTTCTAAACCTAAATGTCCCTAAACCCTTGGGGCTAAGCAGCTAGCTACAAAGTTGAGGTACCCACAGGGTAAACAAGTCGCGTCAAGTTGTTGCGTTCAAGGGTTGACTTTGCACAGCCGACATGTAGTCATTTGCGCACACAGATGCCGACAACAGCGCGTCTTATGCTTGGATGAAACGAAAGCCACTGCAGCTGACACGGTGCCAGAGCATGAAGGCTTTTCATCCGAGTATGGCCAATTGCCTGCGTATATTGCGGGTCTGTTGTTTAACATCCTCATGCAGGTTACCCTCATCAGCTGTATAATGCCATATCCCAGGCAGAAGAATGGAAAGAGCCACATAAGCGTCATTGGCCGGAAAGTGGACAAGCCGACCAGTTTGAAGATCGGCAAATTCCTGGCAACTCAGTCCGCGAGCAGCAACTACTTTCGTTAGTAGTTCCGCGTCGTAGAAACAGTCATGGTAGTGTGCTGAAGGCCAGCAATGACACCTGCAAGCAACATGATGACAGTTCGGTCTTGCTGAGAGTCAGAGGAGGCTTGACAACCTGTTAACAACACCACTTGGAAATGCAGGCGATGCACACGGACGTTTTCAAGATCGATAAAAGCAGCGGCAGCATTTCCCTTTGCTGACTTGGATGCTGAGGGGTAGGATGAGGGGCTGCGTCTGCGGCAGCTGACAGTGCTTGCTCTACCAGTGAAAGGATGAAACCACGCAGCATATGCGTACCCGAAATTTTAGCCGCCTCGTGTACCAAGAGGAACAGAGCACGGACCATGTTCCAGGAACCACCGCATGTAAACTCTACCAAGCTCAATTGCGGAGTACCTTGTACAACGCTGTATCACGTCTGCATGACCGCCTACACTTTTACGGAACGCGTACTTAAAATTCGAACATACCCTAACCCGTAATATCAAAACGCTCAACAAACCCTGAACCCGACATCCTAAACAGAACCCTCATACTCATAGCCCAGTCTTTGCGGCACTTGTAGCCCAAAGTGGCTAAAGAGCTCGGCGGAGTTGCAGCGAGCATCAGTCTGCCCTGCAAAAAGGGGTTTCTTAGGGACCCTAGGGATAAAGTCCCCCTTAAAAAGATAGAATATGGGGTATATGGGGACCTGATTATAATATACCCAGAGCCATATTCTATCTACTTGAGGGGGACTCTATGGGCAAAACGGGATCATGGCAGGGTCCTATAGTGGATTAGTATATGGGTGGTTCTCAAAATTATGGTCCCTTTTTGGGGTCCCTATTATAATACGGCCCCTACTATTTAGGGTACCCAAAAAGGGACCATAATTTTGACAACCACCCATATAAGTTTGGGGCTTAGGGCTTAAGAATGAAATCGAGAAGCTTCGGAATGGGCAGGGTTTGGGAGCGCACGCGTTTGAAGGTGTAGGGGCTCGGGTGATTCAGAGTGTAGAACTAACAGGCTGCACCTACAATAATAGTCCGCTGTGGTATCAATTTCGAGGTGGGGGATTGACCCAATTGGCCAAGTGGTCAGGGCTTGAGCTTTCTGGTGATAGAAATTCCTCTCTGCTCATTGTTAAGAGACTGCGGAAAGAGTGTCAGTATTTCTCAGCAACTTTCTTGCAATGAACAAACCTTGAAACACACCCTCCACCTAAACTGTGTATTCACGAAGTACATATATATGTCCTGTAGATGCATGGGCGTATGTACTCGATAACCTGAGTGAATCAGGTAGTTTCCCAAAATAGGGGGACCCCAATATAGACCCCAAGATACTATAGTCCTTATTATTGGGGCCCAAAAAAATGGTACCCCTAATTTTGGGAAACCCCCATCTAACGATCCTTTCCTCTCCCCTACTGGCTGCTTGCACTCAGGCCCAGGCCAACGCAGCCCAGCAGTTCACCCAGGGCCCCAGCATGGGTGCCAAGGACTTTGGGAGGATTCAGGGTATCAGGATTGAGTTAATATATAGGCTTATATGTAATTACCAATACTTATATTGGGATAATGGAGAAGAAAATGGAGACTTTAGGGTATAGGGTTAGGGGCTTAGGGTTAGGAGTTGCGGATTAGGGATTTAGGGTTCACGGTTTTCGGGCTTAGGGTTGTGTTCAAAGTGATGGATCACTTTTCGGGCGTCACTTGTGCAAAGCAGGTGATAGTTTAGGCGACTTGAATACAGGGAGGACAGATAATGGAAGCTAACATTTAGGGAGGCAAGGATCCCCGTCCTTAGGGCAGCCTCAGCGAAGCATGTCCTACCAGCGGCCAGAAAGTGCGGCCGCGCTGTCAGGTTTCGCAGGTTTGGGTTTGGGCTTAGGATCTGGGATGTTGGGGTTTTCTGGGATTTGGGGGGCTAAGGCTTCAGGCTTCAAGGCCGGGGCTGAACACCGCGCCCTTGATTCTCAAAACCTGAGGCCCTGAACGTTTATTAGTATTGTTATTGTTATTATTATTAGTATTATTATTATTGTTCTTATTATTATTATACTATTTGTATTTTACCTTTTTCCTAAACAGCTGCTTGTGAAGACAGTGCTGTGCTGCTTTCTTATGGCTTGCGAAGGCCTTACCATAACCCGCCAAGGGGATACAGAATTGACAATGACCTAGGGAAGTCCAACCTGCCAGGATCCCCAAGTGGTTTGGGCTTGGGGTTTGAGTTCAGGGCTTAGGGTTTAGGGTTTAGGGTTCAGGGCTTAGGGTTTAAGGGTGGAGAAAGTGCGCTTTGCATTAAAGGAGAGCCCCAAATTCTGCATCCTGAATCTAAAGCCAAGGGCCGAAAGCTTCAAACCGAGCAATGGTTCATGCCATGCCTTGATTGTAATCCCGATATTTATGTCGTCCCTTTACTATTCCTGCAATTGTGCCGTAGAATTGCGAAGCCCATATGATGTCCCCTTCTGGGGACTGCAGAATACTGTCTCACGCCCTCTAGAATAGAATCCTCTATACGACAAAGGGATGACACGTAATCACTTTCTCAAATGTAACCCCTTAAGGATCCCGAGGAGCCCCTCCAAAAGGGACCCGGATATGGACAAGGGTTATATTAGGGTTATCTTAGGGTTATCTTGGGGTTATCTTAGGGTTATCTTAGGGTTATCTTAGGGTTATCTTGGGTTATCTTAGGGTTATATTAGGGTTATATTAGGGTTATAAACCCTATGAACCCTTATAACCACCCCTGCCTGCAGGAGTTGGAGTCTGCAAACCAGGGTGCAGTGATCGAGGCATCAGGGAAGGAAGTGAGTGTTTAGGGTTTAGGGTTTAACACGGTTTAGGGTTTAGGCTTTAGGGTTTAACACGGTTTAGGGTTTGGGGTTTAGTGAGAGTTTGGCGGCTGGGGTTTTGTCGGGGATTTGGAGTTTCAGTTTGTAGTTGTTGCAGGAAATTCTCTGCGTTGCAGCGTGTTGTGCTCAAGGCTTTGACCTATCTTCCTTTCTTCCTCTAGGCCCTCGAGGGACGACAGTAAATGTAAACTCTCAGCCCTTACCTCGGAACTATAGGGATTACATTGGGGTTATATTGGGGTTAGATTGGGATAATGGAAAATAAAATGGAAACTACTATAGTATATAGGGATTATATGTAAACCCTTTTGCAGATCTTGACCTCCCAAGCCGCAGTTTTCAGGAGGTCGACGAGGAGGAAGTCGATGACTCAGGCGTGGAAGCCAAGGACCCAAGGGTTAGGGTTTAGGATTTAGGGTTTAGGGTTTAGGGTCTGGGTGTGAGGATCCAGGGCAGCGGGGGTCAGGGTTTGTAGGGGGAAGTGGACAGGCTGCAGTTGAAGTAGACTTAATCCAATACTTGGGGGTCTGGGTCAGGATGACGAGCTAGGTTTGAGGGGCTGAAAAGATCTGGACTTGTGGCTGAACCTCCATCAAGCCTTACTTAGACATCCCTTCCCCTTGGAAAATGTGACTGGCAGGACGTGGACCTCGTCATGCAGCAGGCGGGTTTGTAGCTCATTCCTAACAGGATTCATGTTCATAGTGCCGAAAATATTTGTACCGTTGATCCTGATTTGAAGCTTCTTTGTAGGGGTTGGAAGCATCGTGAGTCTGCAGTGATGTGGGAGAGCAGTTTATGCAGGGTCTGGGCTCCTGTTAAGGAACCAAAGCTAATTAGCTATAACCAGGAAACCCTTTTACCCACTGTAGACCCATAATATGAAATATGGAGCTCCTGCACCCTAAACCCTAACCCTATATACCCATGAAATGGCAACTTAAACCCTAAATACTCTATATACACACCCATATGATGATACCTTATCTTAAGGTCCTTAACAGCAACCCAGGGGTTGCAGGTCCAGGAAGTCTTGCCCTCGTCACGTCTGCCCAGATCCTGATCCGCGAGCCCCACTTTGCCCTACGTATCAACCTTTCGGTTTCAAGATATCAAAGTTTGGGGTTTAGGGTTTTTAGGGTAGAGGGTTGCCCTAAACAGCCCCAAATCCACCGTTTCAGTCTTGCCATAGGGTTTAGGGTCTTGAAAGGTTTTGGGCTTATCGGTTTACAGAGTGTTTATAGGGTTTAGGATTTAGGGATGGTTCTTTGCGCTTCCTTGTCCTGCTCTATCGCCAATACTTTTTCCTTTATGTTTCATCAGCTTCTGCCACCCGAAAGCCAACAAGCCCGAATATTAAAGCTTCGAGCCAAAGGTATCAAGGCAGATATCCGGTAGCTATAGTCCCCCTTAAGTAGATAGAATATGGCTTTGGGTATGTTATAGTAAGGTCCCCTATACCCCCGGATTCCATCTACCTAAGGGGGACTATACACCCTAAACCCCAAGCCCCATATTCTATCTACTTAGGGGGGACTATAGTACCAACCCTGCAGCGCCTAGAGGTCCATGGTGTCCCTATCTTTACATAGGCTTGCCGGTTTAGGGTTTAGGCTTTAGGGTTTAGGGTTTAGGGCTCCCCTTCAGCCCTTTTGCCAGGTCTCCTGCAGTCGGGCGAAGGCCGTGGCAGCGCTCAAGGCAAACAACAACGACATTGTCGAGGTGCGCAGCTTTGCCTTCTGGATCATATGGCGGTTTCCTAAAATTAGAGTGACTTTTTGGGGGTCCCTATAATAAGGATTATAGCATTTTGGGGTCTATATTAGGATCCCGTATTTTGGGAAATTACCGTATGAGCTACTGTCAATACTAGCCATATTCAGGGACCCTTAACAGTGGACATAGGAGTTCCTCTTGTAGTTCTGTATAGTCCCTAATCTTGACCCTAATAAGGAACCCATGTCCATGAATTAATCATCTGGGAAAATATTGACTGTAGATCATGTAGGGATTAGATAGGTTATGTATGGAGGGCTTAGAGATAGATTCCTGGAGATTCAAATGGAAAAGGAAATGGAATGGAAACTGCGACTCTAGAGGAGTTTATAGCCTTTACTAGCTGGTGCTCTATGGAGAGTGGCGGAGTGACTTTAGCCCCTATGTAATCTGGAATGATTCCGCTCCCCCACTCTACCTTAAGCACCAGTAAGTTGATGTATTCCAAGTTGTAACCCGTGTCATAGTTCCTACTACAGTGACGCTTGACTTCCTTAAGCATGCCTTAGTTGTGGCAGTGTCCCCTCATTGTCTTTTGCAGTTCAACAGTGGCCCACCAGGCGCAAACACCAAACCGTAAATTTACGGGTTCTAACCCTAAGGCTCCACGTAGGTACTATTTATAGGGTTTAGGGCCCAATGTAGGTACTATTTATAGGGTTAGAGCCTCAGGGTAAGTATCTAAGAACTAGTAAGTTTCCAGTTTGGTGCTCAGTAGGGAATATGAGAATATATCGTATAGGGATTATATAGGGACCGCATTATATCCCCTTATTCTGTACTAAGAACCAGTGTGTAGATTCCCTAGATCTGAAACAAAGCAGCGAGTGACCGCTCCCAAAACTGCAAATTCTGTGCCTCAAGGCCAGAATTCCTACGTGTGGTCCAAAAAGGATCGCATGAATGGCTGGGCGGATATGGTAGTTTCCCAAAAAAAGGGACCCCAAAGTAGGCCCGAGAATACTACGATTCTTATTATCAAAAAAGGTACCCGTAATTTCTGGAAGCCGCCAAATGTCACGAAGCAGGGTAGGGAAGGGCCCAAGGCTTGAAAAGGCCTTTCGCGAGGGGTTATTTGTATATACACATGCATTCTGGGTTCGTAAGGGATCCCACAGGTTCCTGTAGAATGGGCATGTACGGGATCACATGTTTAGGGCATGAAAGCCGTCCGTTTCTCCTACCGTACAGTTGTTCTGCAGGCGATCATGCAGCTTTCCAGCAGCTAAGCGGACTCTGTTCTCAGCCAAGCACTCAGGGCCTCAGAGCGTAGCTGCTGTGATGAGCATATTATGATAATAGCAAGAACAGTAGTAAGGACGATGATGATAACGCTAACGATGACAGTGTTTCTTGCTGCACTGCAAGTAGTCATTTTTGTCCTTGCTGTTCGCACTACTGCCCTTGCTAGAGTTGTTAATTTCTGACCACTATAGACTATACTGTCATGGGCGTACCGCCCCTTCAGACTGTATAGTGGTCTGAGGTTGTTGGGGGGGTGGGGTTGTGGTGAAAGGTCCACCTTGAGGAATTGACAGCATTGACTTGTTTTATTCACATGTTTCTGCCTGAATTCTTAGTCACGAAAGAAAAAAAAAGCAGCGTGCAAGTCACGAGCAAGTTCGAAAATACAGCTGGTCTTTTGAGGCTGCAGGCATAGGCAGCAGCATTTATCTAACCTTCATGATTTGCTTTCTACAAACCCTGCAGAACTGACACTGCTGCATGGCCTCGCCAATAGCCATCAACGACATAGATTTCATTTTGGTTGGCAGCAGGCTAGCTATAGCCAACAGCTAACCTCGGCCCAATTCAGGGATCGCGGGCCCCGCAGGGCGTTGCTACTCACAGTGGTTGGTTGTCAAGGTAGCTACTTCAAAGCTTGTCCTGCTGACCCGGATTTCCCGGGTGTCGTCGGCTTGTGTCATTTGCCGAATACAAGCCTGACAGCATATGCTTCTGCAAATGATATTTGAAGCAGGCAGAACCAGGACACCAATGGGAAGAAACATTGGGCTGCGCTTTCTCCGCGTTAGTGCTAGCAGAAGCAGAATAACGTACACCATGCGCTTATATGACCCAGAATTGGCACATTGTCAGCTAAGGCCTGGACGCGCAAAGATGTGCAAATCAGCTTTGAAATACTTGGGGTGCCGCAAGGCCTCCAATTTTGCAGAGGAATGGCGTCGTACAGTCGCTGCTGAAAAGGAGACTGCAATTTATGGAGCATGGGGCCAAGAACGCGGGGACCTGTTAGGTGTTCAATGGTTCTTCCAAGAAGTTTCCCATTTAATACGAACGAAAACGGATTCATACGTATTTCCATCGAATATACTATTCTTTATCGACAGATCAGATGACCCTCCTGTACCCAAGGGAATGAAGAAAAAGATTTGGAAGAATGAAGAAAATGGAAATGTTGAAAATACACCAGTACTGATAGAGCACGACAGCGTCGGCTCTTGCTTTAGATATCTGTTGAAAAATAATCTCTAAATCTTCAGGACTTTCTACAAAAAGAGCAACCCCATCTAGTCTAGAACCGCCCACGCACCTCCCGGTGGTTTGGATTACATGAGTGCTTGCTGGCATCTACGTAGGACTATGTTTAGCCATGTCTAGATGATACATATTTGTGCTACATAGATTTCAATTTGACCGTTCCCAAAGACTCCAAATCCAAAGTCACGTCAACGGTCGCTCTTTGGAGGAAAAAGTCATATCAATGCAGATGGCGTAGGGTATGTGTGCTGCCATCACATTGGGGCGGATTCTCGCCGCTCGCCCTCAACATTTCCAGCTCCAGCCAGTTGGTGTCGCCAGGTGTGGCATACTTTTCATGCACATTTTGCATTTTTCAATGAGGAAACGATGCCATCGCATGCCATAGGACATGTACTATAGTACAGTGTAGTATACTATAGCATACTGCGAGACCGTAAGATGGCATGCTGTAGTACACTGACACAAAGGCAGGTTGTCAGCGAGTTCCCAAGGTTGGGCGGCTTTGAACCCAGCCATGGCGGGGCATGGACTGCGGCTGCACATGTGGCTTCGTCTCAGGTCTGCGTTGCTTTTCTCCTTGAGCTTTGTCAGGTGCGCCAGTGTGGAGTTTGCACTGGGAGCTCTTGCCGACGACGTTCAACTTCACGCGGCAGCAGCTGCAGCCCTCATCGACTACCAGAAAAATTTCAATGCTTCTTTGGCTGCTCGGCTAGGCCCTCCAATCATCCAGATCCCTGGTGGAGTACATCCAAATGCAAGCATGGGAGCCATCAGGTTGAACATGAAAGACGATGGTAGCTCGGACAAAACCGGCATGGCTGAAGCCTTGAACTTGCTTCTGGGTTGCTGTTAAGGAACTTAAATTAAGTTACCATAATGGGTGTATATATATATATATTTATATATAGTAAATAATAGGGTTTCCCCAATATGGTAACTTAATTTAAGGTCCTTAACAGCAACCCAGGCTTCTTGGCCTTGAAGGCAATTTTCCGCCGGTGATCGGATTGGTGGGTCCGGGGAGTTCCAAGGTCGCCACGCCAGTTGCCACACTGGGAGGTGTGCGGCAGATTCCCCAAATTTCTTGCTGTGCAAAAAGCCCCAAGTTGTCCGACAAGAAGGAATACCCTTTCTTTATTCGAACGATGCCGCCGGACACCTTCCTCGCTACTGCCATTTGGCATTGGGTTCTACACTTCAATGTTGCAACGGCAGCTTGTGTTTATTCCGACGAAGGCTACGGGCAAAGTCTCTTTGGAACTCTGAATGATCTTGCTCGCGCCAACGGCCAGCAAGATCGCATACAGGGGCAGGGCTTGGGACAGATGCGACGCGGATTCGATGGAGAACAAGCTCGCAAAGTGATAAAGCTTGTGAAGCAGATAGGATCTCATTTTGTCATTCTTCTTGCGGCTGTCTCCGTGGCTGAAGGTCTCCTCAACATCCTTGAGGAGGAGGGTATGCTGACGCCCGCTTGGCAAATCCTGTCGACGGATACTTTGCTAGCAGCTTCAGGCAGAACCGTGGGTTACATGTACCTAAGACCCGCTGGTGACGGCGCAAAGGTCCCAGAGCTGCAGCAGTTATGGTCGCGGCTTTCACCACGTGACATGCAAGCCACGGATCAGATGCAACTACCTGCTGGCCTTGTCGGGGATGAGATGTTCGATGAAGGCGACGCGGTGAAAACTTGTGGTACTTTTTCGTTTCTTCCTCTTCTTCTCATGAACTCGTCTGTCAATCTCTACTTGTGTGTAGCTTTGTGTATTCGTCTCCCATCCCCCCAGAAAGCCGAGTGTGTGGGGCTTCCTTGGCCCGACTTGCAAGGTGTGGTTTTTCGCCCACAGGCAATCTTCAACTTCGACTCAGTCTATGCATACTTCATTGCCATCAACAACCTCCTTCATTCGGGCATGGATGCCACTGAAGTCCGCGGCCGCGCGCTTTACGATGAGATGAGCAGGCTACGATTCAACGGTGTGCCTAGGTCGCCCTGTAGTATTCTCATAGCTTCGAACTTCAAAAGAGAACACATACAACACAGGTTGCGGTTGCCGGGCAGCCTAGGTGTCAGGTGATATGAGCTTCGATAGGAACGGTGACCGGCTGGGAGTGTTTGAGCTCCTGAACACCCAGTCCGATGGCAGCATCGTTTCTGTTGCCTCCTTCAGTGCTAAGACATTGAATTTTACAGTTACAGATCCTTTGACATGGATGGATGGGTCAGTCGGGTACTCCCCGCCGCCAGACATGTATTCTTGTGATCCGGGCTTCTACCAGGAGGAGCAAACAAGGCAGTGCAAGAGATGTCCGCAGGGGAACTTCTGTGAAGGAGGGCTGACAGGTCCTCTGATTCCATGCCCCAGAGGTGGGGTTCGTTTAAACCTACCTAAATGAGTCGAAATGGGGCTTTGGGTGTTATTCTATTTGCCCTTTGTTAAAGGTCCATCCGAGCAAACAAAATGCCAACCATGAGACAGTAATCTCGATTCTTGGGGTACCTCTTGTGCACCGAAAAAAGCACGACATTCAGAGGCACTTTTGCTCCTGACGTGGGCATGACCAATTGCACCGCTTGCCCGAAGGGCAGTTTCGCCCTGGATGCCGGCGCAGCGGAATGCGTTTCGTGTCAGCCTGGCACAGAGGGGCCTTTCGAAGGCATGGAGATATGCAGGATCCGTGCCTGCCCTATGAGCCCTAAACCTGTCCGTGATACTACGGCTGTTGAGGTATGGGCTAGTAGCAAATACATCTTATGGAACCTCACAAAAATAGTAGTCTTCGTTGTTCAGGCCCCCTATAAACCCCGCATAAGACCTTTGCAAAAATCCCAGAAGCCGCTCTAGAAATCCATAAAACCCTTGAGCAACCCCTACAAAGCCGCTTACAACCCCTATAAAAACCTCTCCAGCTGTGCAGGAGCTGCGAGGTCGGCTTCTTCATGCCATTCTCGGGAAGCAATCAATGCCTGCCTTGCGGCAAGAATCAGATCACCCCAGGGCTTCTCGGCCCCGGGTTTCGGGTTTAGGCTTAGGGCTTGGGGTTTAGGGTTCATGGTCGAGGGTTTAGGGTTTTGGGTGGTTCCATAAGATGTGGGTTTAGAAGGGCTTTTCTGGGTCTTAGAGCGGTAAATTGGCGTTTCTTGAAAGGGCTCTGTAGTATTTTGAAGATGATAGAGACTCAAGCGCTGACTTCGGAAGTCCTGGATTACGCAACAAACCCAGTTTCTGTTTATTCAAGGAATCCTTCATGGGATTCAGGAGGACATTTTTTGTTATTGAAGGAGTCTCGGGCCCCTTGTAAATACTAAACCCTAAACCCAAAAGCCCAAAAGCATCTTGAAGAGCTTAAACAGAGCTCCCTTACTTTAGGGTTCAGGGTTTAGGTTAAGGGACGTAAGCTCATTAGAGTGGGGCTAGTAGTAAGGAAATTTCCTGCTCATGATATTTTCACTGAAGTTCCGGAAAGCCCCGTCACACTCGCCTCGCATAGCACGCTTAGACAACCCGCCTTATACGGTTTAGGATTTAGGGGCCCCGAAAAGTCTTGCAATGAAGACCGCTATGGGAAATAAGTTCCGGAAGGCAGCCCTAAACCCTGAACCCTCATCTGGAAATCCTTTATAGTACCCCCCCCCCTGACAGTAGCCCTTTCAAGGGTTCCTGAAAGAAAAGCACCCCCAAAATGCCCTCATCCCGGAGCCCCCTTAGGCTGGGCTCCACCAGCGAATCTGATTGCGTCTGCGCGGAGGGGTCCTTCATGTGTCCATCTGAAGGTTGCCCCTGGGCAGTTGAAGGGATTTGGACCTTTGAAAAGGTTCCTTTCAGGGCTCCTTTAGGGGCTCCCCAAGAGATTCCTTCAAGGGCTCCCCAAGGGTTCCTTTAAGGTCTCCCCTTTCAGGGGCACTATACGAGTTTTCGTTTTGAGGGGTTAAGGGGTAAGCGGTCGAGGTGTCAAATAGGATTTAAGTTTCTTTTTGTTTCAGCTTTTGGGTGAAAAGTGAGAGAAGTTGAGAAGAGCACAACCCTAAACCCTAAACTACCCTAAACCCTAAACCCTAAACCCTCAAGCACAGCCCAGGCATCCCATGCCCCACGGGGCTCTTGTGTCCGGAGGGCTTAGGCCCCCCCGAGCAGGCTGCCGGCTTTTGGACAGATTCAAACGCTTCACAGTGCGACTTCTCCGTTTTGCGCTGCGGAGACCTCAGTGCTCGTTTGGAAAGGTAGCAAAGAGAGAGATGCAACCCTACACCCCAAACCCTAAACCCTAGACTGACCTAAGCCCCGTAAAGCCCGAACCCGTAAAGCCCGGCACAATGTCGAGTACAGGGGTGTACCTGCTTAAGGCAGAGACCGGGCTGAGTGCCCTCAAGGACCTTTGGGACGTTGCTCCGAAGGCCGGGTAGGCCAGGCGTGCAACAACTGCGAGCCAGGCTACTACTCTCGAGGCCAGGGTAGAGGGTTTGGCGTTTAGGGTGTTTGGGGTCTTAGGATTTGAGGGTTTCGGGCTTAGGGGTTTAAAAGTTTAATAAGGATTTTGGGTTTGGGGTCTAGGGATTAGGACTACTACTCCCGAGGCTCCACGTGTGAACGTTGTCGGGAAGGGGATACCATGCCGGTGATCTTGGTCTTGATCCTGCTCCTGGCCCTTTTGGCTTTTGTGAGCAACTCCAATTGGGATCCAAGTCAAGTGAGCACCTTGCTTGCATAAAGATGATTCCCCAGACAGTGTAGGCAGTATAGGTTTTGGTGTCGTGGGTTCCGGCTGCTTTTCTTGCGGCTTGAACATGCGATGAGCCCAAGTTGTGGAAATCTTTGATATGCACTCGCCATGAATGGACATGACTCTCGCAGTGGCCGGCAAAGTTGTTTCGAACTGGTTTCGCAGATCTTGTTGCAGTCTTGTTCTGCAACATGCCCCAAGTCGAAGTTGCATTAGCTTTCTATAGTCTGTTGTCCTGGCTGTCGAGGGATCATCTAGGCAGTTCCCTGACTACGGTTCCTTGTCGTACGGGTGACGAAGAAAAACCCTAAACGCTAAACCCCGCTTTCGTCGGGATAGAGGTTGCAAAGTTGTCGTGACTTTGGTGTGATGAGCTGTGGAGTTCTTGCTTTAAGGAGTCTGCCGATGTTGCAGTGACATGTGGCGCTTGGCAGTGAACGGTAAACCGGAAAAGCTAAATCCTCAACCCCAGAACCTGAAACCCGAAACCCTATAAATTAGAACCCTACAAGACATCAAGAGCTCTTAGAAAGCTCTTTAACCCCATACAATCCCGTTCTAGTAGTTTCCATTTATCTTCCATTATCCCAATAATACCCTATGACCCCAATATATCCCCAACTTTACCAACTTTCAATGATGGAAGGATTTATAACAGCCCAAAGAGCTCGACAGTTCTAACACCTAGGCCCCCGAGACCTAAACCAGAAAGCTCGAAACCCTGAAAGCCTTACAATCCCCCCAAAGCCCCTAAACCCCAAAAAACCCAAACCTGCAAACCCTTAAGCCCTGAAATTTTGAGCCTTACCTTAGACCTTAAACCCTAAGACCCTGAGCACAAATCAAGGTCTGAACACCGTCACAGCGGCCTCGGTAACCAGCCAGCTGCTCATGGCCATCCAATCTCTGGGCTCGATCCGAGACTGGGTACCGATTCTACGGTTTACGTTTTAGGGCTTACGTTTCGATGTTCTAAGTTCCTTGATTGTTGAATAGAGAACCATGTCTATGATCTTGGAGAAGCTTTGATTTCCTTATTGTTATTTAGGGTTTAGGGTTGAGAGACTGGTATGGATTGAGCCGGCTGGGGGTTTGGATTTTAGTTTCCCTTCGTCTTCAAAATAGAGAACCACAACTATAAGTCAGTTTTGGGGGCTCTTGACATCGACGCCTAGGAGAGCTCTCCATCAGCTGGCAGGAGCCCAGGGAAAAGCAACTCAAGGGCATATAGTCCCCCTTAAGTAGATAGAATTTGGGGTATATGGGGATCTTATTATATGTACTATACCCAAAGCCATATTCTATCTACTGAAGGGGGACTATAAAGGGATTCGAAGTAGATGATATGCTTTGCTGATTATGGTTTAGGGTTTAGGGTCAAGAGGAAATTCAGGTATTTCCAGGGCTTGCTAGGGGGCGTGTAGGGTTTGGGTCGTAAGAATGGGCTTTCCTTGTTAATGGTTTAGAGCAAACCCGTTGTAGGGAGTCAAGGGGCAGGAGCCAGTGGCGACACTTATCAACCTCACGAAGTTGGTGATGTTCGACTTCCATTTCATCCGAACTTCCTGCTTCTAGGTATCCCAGTAGTACCTTTTTCCCCTTTTTATTTGGTAGTCTCGTTATTAAAATTGAATATTAGGAAAAAGGGTACCCTTATTATTATGGGGTTACTGGGGAACCTAGGCTTCTTCGGAACCGACAATCCGGTACTCTATTTTGTGGGCCGATTGATCACATGCCCGGTTGCGTGTGCTCTGCTACTGTGCGCTTGGGTACTGCAAAAGATGCTCGGACGGCCCAAGCCATTCAACACGGTGTTGAATCAATGTGGCGTGATGATCTTTGCGTTCTTCCTGTCCATCACCCGCGCTACCCTCATTCCATTTCAGTGCGTCCAGAACCCAAATGGAACTAGCTCAATGATGCTGCACCCAGGCATCATTTGCTACTGGGTTCTTGTTGAGGCATTTCATACATATATATATATATACACATACACACACATGTGCATACATCTACCTGTATATACACGCACATATTCACATTTTTATACACACTTTCATTTTGTCTCTACTATGGCAAGTCCAATTAAGTTCCTTGAGCTAACGCCAAAAAAGCCCTGGGTTTTTTATTCTGTAGAGCCCCTAATAGGGCTTTAGTTATGGCAATTTACATCAAGTCCTAAACCCTAAGCCCTGAACCAGAGTCTAGGCTACCAGTCGGAAGAGCATACGGTCTTTGCTGGACTTGCTGTGTTAGGAGCCCTGATTGCAAGATTCAACCCTAAACCCGAAGGCCCAAAATGTAAAATAGGGTTTCGGTTTCGCTTTAGGGGTTTAGGGGTTTCCGTAAAACCTAAACACAAAGCCCTAAAGAGGAGTTGTGACTCAGCCCTTGGCTGTCCTGGTGTTGGCCACCTACGTCATCTTGACGTATCCATCACGGGTGGCCAGCGGCAAAGGCCTGCGCTTCTCCACGCGATACCGCTTCTGGGCACTTGTTTAGGCTTTCGGGTTTAGGGTTTAGGATTTAAAGGAACCTAGTTTGAAGTTGCCATAATAAAGGAACCCTGTTATTCACTGTAGATCCCTATTATGGTAACTTAAATTAAATTCCTTAAAAAGAACCCAGGTTTCCTTCTTCACAGGTTCAAACCATCGTCCTACTACTACGGTTTGGTTCTCCTCTATCGCAACGCTATCGTGGCTCTTTTGCCTACGGTCCTGGTCGGCGTGCCTGAAGTTCAGGTACCGCTAATGGGCATCATGTTGCTTGCCGTGCAGAACCTATCCTTGCAACTAACCGGTCCAGTAGTACTCTTTTGCCCTTTTTTCGGGCGTGTAGTTTTTGCCATGAAGGAGATGCGGGGAACCTAGGCAAACGGCTCCATGGCGAACACAAATGGCTAATCGGATCGACATGCTTTTGACTGACCTTCTTCTTGTTGCTTGGCGGTTCTCGAAGCTGCTTCAATTTGCGGGTTTCACAAAATTAGGGGTACCTTTAAAGGGGTTAATAGGGCTTATAATATAGGGGTTGTATAGGGATATATTAGGGGGATGTAGAGTTTGGAAACTACCATTTCAGTATCAAGCCAGCAAGGGTGTCTTAGAGATTCCAAAGCCCTGTAACTTAGCTACAAAGACCTTGATAAACATACAGGAATCTGGAACATGGAGTGTTGGGGAACCACCCGAAACCCTAAATCCTCTTTCGGTCCCCAAGCCTTTACGCGGAAAGCCTACACCCTACACGGGCCTAGTCTGGGTTCTTGTTGAGGAATTACTTTCTGTTACCATATAAGGAAACCCCATTATTTACCATAGATCCCTATTATGGTAGCTTAAATTAAGTTCCTTAACAAGAGCCAAGGCTTGGGAACCACCCTAAACCCTAAACTCACCGGGCCTATTCAGGTTACTCTGCTCAGTGCGGGTCCTTTGCTGCTGATCGATGAGGCCTCGTCCACGGCGGTGCTCGGTTGGCTTCTTTGTGTAGCTAGGTCTTCCCGTAGTACCCTTTTAGGGTTTAGGGTTTTTGGGGCTTCCTTGTTCAAAGGAAGAATGCGCAAAAGGAAACCCCTCATACCTGGGGGATATTGGGAGAACCCAGGTACCCATCCTTTCGATCTTGCTTGTGGCTCTTCTTGGCTTCCTGAAACTCGCGGTGAGGGCTCCTGGGCTGCAGCTTGAATCCTCATATAATATGAACCAGGCCTTTCTTAAAGTTTCGGTGAGTGTATAGATAGGGCTCCGTAGGAATATTGGTGGGTGCACACTTGGGTTGGCCTAGTGGGGCTGGTAGTGATAAGTACCCTGCCTCGATTGGCCTTGTTGTCTAACATCTCAGCAACACCCAAGGCCATCAGGCAGAAGAGGGAGAAGCTCTACGACATCTTCCTATGTCAGCATCTTAGGTGCTCTGTTTTCGAGGTCTCACACAAGGAAAACAAAGAGCTAGCCAGAAGACCTTAGCGTAAAGTATGGCGGTTGCTTTCACATATCCTTATAAAACTCGTATAAAGTCACGTAAAATTTAACCGTGCAACAGCAGATAAATCCTTTCTGCAATCCAAAATGAGCACTAGGTACCCCAGTAGTACCCTTTTACCCCTTTTGTTGGGGGGGTCTCCTTATTAAAGCAGAACAAGAGGAAAAAGGGTACCCTATGGTACCCTTATTATTTGGGGTTTACTGGGGAACCTAGAGCGCTAAGGTCACCATAAGGCAGGGGGTGGGAGCTTGAGCCGCTTGATGAAGCTCGTGATTCTAAAGCACTCGTCCGCCCGGGCGGCTTGGTTTTGCAGTCGTATTAGGGTTTAGGTTTAGGGTTTAGGGGGTTTAGGGTTTAGGTTTTGGGGTATAGGGAGAATATGGGGATTATGTATTAGGGTTTGGGGTATAAGGGGGAATATAGGGATTATACAGGGATAATCTATAGTGGAAAATAGAATGCAAACTACTATAGTCTATTAGGGTTATATTAGGGTTTGGGTTATAGGGGGAATACAGGGACTAGATAGGGAAAATGGAAAACAAGCTGGAAACTATTAGAGTCTATTGGGGTTATATAGGATAGTAGAGATCTTTGTTAAGTTCTACCAGGGTTTAGGGTTCCGTTTCGGGTTTCCTTACTAAACTGTGTCCTTGTTGTTAAGAGGCTTCTGTGTGACCTAGGTGTTCCTGGACAGCGACCAGCTGCAGAACCTCGACTTGCTGTTTGACATCATCCGAACGTCGGCAAAGAACGTGGTCGTCGTGCTCACCGGAGAGTTGCTGTCTAGAAGTTGCTAGGCCAATTGATCTTCAAGCTTAGTATAGTCTCTTTTCAAGAAGAAAAGGGTCATGGAATCAACCCTACCCTAAACCCTAACCCCTAACCCCTAAATAGGGCCTACGCACAGGTTGGTGTGCGGGAGAGATCGTCACCGCCTGGAAGAACGACGTTCACACAGTGCCCTTGCTATGCGATGGTTTCGCAAGGCTTTCTGACGAGGCAAAGGTACCCAAAACTTGGGCCATGTAAGGTATAATCCCAGTATAACCCCAATATAACCCCAATATACTAGATTATTTTGGTAGTTTCCATCTTCTTTTCCATTATCCCTATATAACCCCCTAATATAG